GTGGCAGTTCGGATATGTATCTTCCGTTAGCGGAATTTTCATATAACAACAGTTACCATGCTAGCATAGACCGACCTCCCTTTGATATGCTCTACGGAAGGAAGTGTAGGACCTAATCTGTTGGGTCGAGGTCGTTCAGAGAGTCATGGGGAGTACTGAGGTAGTACTCAAGACTACATAGTTGATCCAGCTGGTCCGGAGCAAGCTTCCGACTACTTAGAGTCGCCAGAAAAGCTATGCCAACAAGCGGCATTCCGACTTGGAGTTTCAGGTGGGCGATATGGTCCTCCTAAAGGTTTCACCTTGGAAAGGTGTCATCCGATTCCGAAAGCAGGGAAAGTTGGGCCCCAAGTATATCGGCCCTTTCAGGGTTATATCCCGGGTGGGTAAGGTGGCGTACCGATTGGATCTTCCATCGGAGCTCAGCCAGATCCATAGCATTTTCCACGTTTCCCAGCTATGGAAGTGCTTGGTGGATGACTCAGCGGTTGTGCCTCTAGAGGACATTTAGGTTGATGACAGCCTGAAGTACATCGAGAGACCACTAGCTATTCTCGATAAGAAGACGAATGAGCTACAAAACAAGAGGATTGAGCTGGTGAAGGTGCAGTGGCAACACCGCAAGGGTTCAAAGTGGACTTGGGAGCCCAAGGAAGATATGAGGGAGCACTACCCGGAGTTGTTTCCAGATGAATCAGACTTCGAGGACGAAGTCTAAGTTAAGTGGGGGAGTATTGTAACACCTGATTCCTGGTACGCATTCAATTATAATTTATTTATTTTTGTAGAGCCACTCGATGAGTTGGGAGCCCCAGACTCGTCGAGTAGATATGAGATTGGACACGATGTTTTAAGCAATCTACTCGACGAGTTGAGAGCCCTCAAATCGGCGAGTAGGTCTGCCAGAGTGAAACCCTAATTTCGGGGTTTTGCACCATATTTAAACATTTTAATCCCAAAATTATGGCCTCATTTCCAGCCTCCAAGTCCCAAACCCTAATCCATGAAATGCTAGAGCTATTTATGAGTGTGTGAGCCATTCTTGAGTAATCTTTGTGTGTTCTTGAAGCTTAAAGAAGAAGAATGAGCTAGAAGGTTCAAGGAGAAGATAGTAGATCTAGAGACTTGCTTCCACCCTCCTCATTTTCTGGTAATCAAGTCTCTAACTTGGCTATTAGCTCATTAGATCTCCTTAGTTCCATTTTGTGAGAGCTTTGGTCCAAGAATCCTGATCTTTGTGACATGGACGTCCCAAGTGGCTTACCTTTCAGATATGAGATCAAGAAGGGGTTTCATGGCATAAAGGTGCAAAGTTTATGACCATGGAAGCCCCATGCAAGCTTAAAGACGTTATTATGGCCTTTTAAGCCCCAAAAGGCCATGCATGGAAGTAAAGTCTGGGACTTTATGTGTTCATTTGGTGTCTAGGACCTAGATCTCGATTTTCATGCTTTAGGTTGGAGTAATAAGGCTTTTGGACAAAGATCTATGTCCTAAGGAACTAGGGTTTTATCTAAACCCATTAAGAAGGATTATTGGCGGGTAGAGTTGGAAATTTACCCTTAAAAGGGAATTTCCAGTGTGTAGATGAAGTATGAACCTTGGACATAGAGAGTAGAGGCTTAATATGTTAAGATGGCCCAAACAGAAAAAGGAACTCATCGAGTCTATAAAGGAACTCGACGAGTTGAGTCGTGTTGTCCCGGTTCAGCTTAAGATAGAACTCGACGAGTCTGTGAAGGGACTCAAAGAGTTGATTTTCCAAATCGCGACTATGAGCATCTAGGGAACTCGACGAGACAAGGGGATGACTAGACGAGTTGGATCGCAATTTGATGATTTTTGAGTTATAGAGTTCGGCAAGTTGATTGGTCAACTCGGCGAGTTGGGTTAACTTAGAATGTTCACTTTGACCAGGGGTAAAATGGTCATTTTACCCTTAGAAAAATTCTCAGTTTTTTTATTAAGTGATTTATGTGAATGATAGACGGGGAGTCGTTGGAGCAGCAATCGGAGATTCCTCACACGAGATTTCATCAACTAGCTTACGAGGTGAGTTTCCTTCAGTAGGAATGGGTCTAAGGCACCAATGTCGGCCCGTGTAGAGTAGCTAAGTGTAGGCTGGACCCGTATCTTAGAATGATTTATGTTTAGTAGCTAAGTGTGGGCTAGGCCCGTATCTTAAACTTGTTATGATTAATAGCTAAGTGTGGGTTGGGCCCGTATCTTAGTGTTATATGAGTATCTTATTGAACTGGTAGATTATAGTTATATTTGTTGTCTGTATGATACTTGTATGTATGTTTAGTTAGTGGGGTGTGTGCGGGGGCCCGTATCTCCCAGATAGCGGAGTGTGGGCGAGGCTCGTACCTCCTAGCCAGCTGAGTGTGGGTGAGGCCCGTATCAAAGACACATCCATTAGAAAATATTGGCGAAGTGTTCATGGCAAGAAGAACAATAATAAATGATATAGAAACCATCATGATCTTTGTTGCGAGTTGACAAAACATATTTGAACGGTTAACCATATTGATTTGAACTTGATGCCGTTGATAATTTGGAAGACCAATTTTTTGATGAAAACTCCTTTAAATGTTACTAGTTATGAATATTTTAGTTATATATTTATGTTTTTAAGTTTTAAGCTTTTGATTTTTGGAGTTGTTATGGATTAATTTTTTGTTATGTAATTTTTATTTTGATTTAATGAAAAATTAGTTTTAAAAACTTAATTGTTAAAAAAAGAATTATGATTAATTAGTTCTACCTTAATATAATAGTGTAGATGGTTTTTGACAAAACTAAAAAATTATGATATGACAACCCACAAGCTAAAGATTAAATTGCACTTTAGAGCATTTTCAATGGAAGGTTATTTTTAAAGCGTATTACTATTTGTTTTTTTAATAACCACCTATATCATTGAAGTAAACAATTTTTTTTGTATTTATTTTTTATTTTAACCACTTAATATATATTAAATAGTAAATATAATATCTTATATAGTCAATATAATATCATAAAATGTACATTGAACCCTACCATTTTAACCATGTTTCATTTTATAACTATTATTTAATATTTTTATTATTTTTATTGTACTTTTATAACTAAAACATAATAATTTTTTATATTTTAGATATATAAATAAAGACTTGACATGACTTTATTTTATATTTTCATATTAGGATGTGATTTGTGTTTAAAAATGATTAATAAATGAAATGTTTTATAAAACATTTTAGATGGATATAAACTTAATCATCCAAGAAATCATTTATTTAAAAGTCAAAAGTTAATAGTACAATGAGATAACAATAACTCATACCATAGGTAATTAAAAATACTTTTATCCCGTCTCAGGGTCGGTCATGAAAAATGAAATATTCTTAAATACTTAGGACGAACAAGGAAAAAAAGGCCCTTATCTTTATTATAATTTTGTATTTCTAAATAAAAATATATAATAAAAAAAATTTGACCCTATGCAGCTGTCCACTTTACCCCCTCTAAACCCCATGTCCCGTCTTATAATTACATGAAAAGTAGAGGGTACTTTCCAGATTAGGATAATGTGGGTGCGCGATCCTCAAAATAAATAGTTAATGATTGTTTGAAAAGTATTTTGGTAGCTTGCCCGAACAATTTTTTATATAAAAAAAGGAAAAAGAAAGCTATTCAAGCAAATATATGATCATAGAAAACTAAAAGTATAAAATTGAAACAAAGAACAAGGAAAGGTGACAAGTATATGCTCCGCCGTTCAAAAAAAAAAAAAAAAAAAAAAAAAAAAAAAAAAAAAAAGTTGACAAGTATATGACATGATATGGGAAAAGAACGAAATAAGAAACCAACGTATTTAACAGTGACCCATCTAATCGTTCCATTTTTTGCGCCTCCGTGGGACCACCCTGCTACACCAACAACCGCTGCATCCACCGTCGGATTGCCCCTATTAACGTCACAACTCCCACACAAGAAATTCCGAAACATGTTTATGTAAAATACAATATTTATATAAAGTTTTAATTTACACGATCCTTATTCGATACTAGTAATTTTATACCGTATAATAAAAACATTAGTGGTGTGACATGAGGCCATTGTGTTGTATTTTTTTTCTGATACAACATGACAAACTTTTATATAACACGAAAACGATACAACTAACACGAAAACAAACAAATTAAAAAACAATAAAAATGATAATATGATATAACAATTAATTTATTTATTTAATATTTAATCATATATAACATAACAAACACAACAAACAAATGCTAAATCATGTCAATTTCGTGTTGAATTTTGAATACGAAAATGACACGATACAATATCGTGTTTTTTACAGTTGATATGAATACGAATTTGAATTTCAATTTCATCTCAATTCTGTTTCATGTTGTGTATTTTTGTCGTTTCTTGTCATCCATTGTTACTCCTAAAAAAATCATATAACAATAAGAGATTTTAAAATCTTTTTGTGTAATAATTTGCTGAAAAAATTTATTTATTATTATGAGTTTTTTGGTCAAACATACTTTTTCAAAGTAATTGTATAGTTAAAGGCTCTTGAAAAAATGTATTTTTTTCTTATATTTTATATATCTTAGTTTATTATACAAAATATTTTAGAGCAAATGTCATATTAACCCATTAAACTTGTCATTTTTTATTTAAAAGGTCACTCAATTGTTTTTTGTTACATAATGGTAATAAAGTCATGTATGACTGTTTTAAAATGTCCTTTAACATTTTACATTATGTTAGCGGTGATGTGGACTTACACGTAGGATACCACAGTCCAATTGGAGGCTTACGTGTCATGAACTGTACAACCCTTGGGGAGCAAGGGTAATTACCTAGCCTGTGGTCCCCTTATATAAGATCGTATTCCCCTTTTAGGTTAAACATAGTCACTTTCTTAACCTTACAGATCTTCACTTGTATACCCTTTATCTTCCTTCCCCCCTTTATAAATTCCATCACTGCCAACGATCATGGATTCAACAGATAACTTTTTGTACGAAGGACTCCACACGTCAGACTTAGACATACCCAATGATAACGAGCTGTTAGCTATGGAGATGCAGGTCGAAATCGAAAACATGAGAAATGACTTCATCGCGGAGCTCGCCGAAGTTAAGCAGCAGATAGCAGTGATGCAGAAGAGGTTCACTGTCAGTATGTGGATTTTGATTGTTGGAGTGGGTGATGTTTTAAGCTGGGTTTATCGATCCTCGAAGTACTATGGGTTCATGGACCACCGAAATCGTTTTGTGGATGTCGTATTAGATACTAACGTTAGTTGGGTTTTTCTTGATTTCGGTGGTAATGGTGTTAGTGGGTTTAGTATATGTACTGTTGGTTAGTTTACGTGTTTATGATGAATTAATTTGGGGGGTTTTATTGATTTCATATGGTTAGCCATGTAATGGTGTTTTAGGGGGTATCGATTAGCCGATTACCCTGATTATTGTTCACGAACCAATTAGTGTACCCAGAAAATGGTTTGTATTGTTAATGAAAATTTTTCATATTATATTTTGGGCCCTAATTTTTCGATATTTGTCAAAACAATGCTAATTTAGTTCATGTGTTGAAAAATGGTTTGTAATGTTAATGAAAAATGGTTTGTAATGTTAATGAATGTTTTATGTTCATTTTAAAAGATAGTTCATGTGTTGAAAGTACAATGCTAATTTAGTTGAATTCTTAGGTGCACAATTGACAACATGAAAACAAATACATTTAATCCAACTCATGACAACATGAAAACAAACACATCTATTATAAAAGTACATGGTCTAATTTCTTGAAATTGTTTTTGAAGCATACACATTCACATCTTAACAAACAATGACAACATGAAAACAGACACATCTAATCCAACTCCATTGGTGTGGTTGAAGTATTACTTTCTCCATTTTTGCCTTGCACCTTTTTTTCTAAGTTTTTCTTTATTATCATCTTTGATTTTTTCCTTATTTTGATTGTAAGCTTTGGTTCACCCTTCCCCACTTTAACAACACTTCTATCTTCATCCTTTGCCTTTTCCTTTTTAACACCACTTGCTCCATCATCCTATCCCTTGCCCTTGGTAGCACCATTTCCTCCATCATCTTTTATCTTACTCTTTTTCACACCACTTCCACTTGCATCTTCACCCACCTTTCTTTTTACCTTTAATTTTGGGGTCTTTCAACTGTATCACATGTTGACTTGTTGTTCCCTACCTTCTTACAAACACTACATGCAATCTTTTTTCCTGCCTTTGACACTTTGTGTGATCCACTGATCTCTATAATGTCCTTTTTCTTCTTGATAGTGGGTCTCCCTAGCATTTTCCTTTTAAGTGGTGGCAATGGTGGTATGTAGTTTGTTGGAGACCATATTGCAGTCCCATTCATGCTTCTTATGGAGTATGTATATGTATTCATGTATATAGCATCACGATACAAAGGATCCACAAAGGCCTCCACATTCCTGTTTACATAACATATGGCTACAACTGAATGAACACAACCATATCCATTCAGCTTCCATACCCTACATGTACATGTTTTTTCTCTAAATCAACACCATATGACTCTCTTAAGTTTCTTGTCTCAGAGGTATTCAACCCATTAGGCAACACTTGCCAATACCTACAACATACACATAGTTAGTATGGAAAAACATCATTAATATATAATAGTGTCACAAATTGAACAAACCTTTGGTGGATTTTAAATTCATTTATGGCAAGTCTTATGTTTGGACATACATCATACCAACCCTATCTAATACCATTTAATCTCAAATTACACATCCTCTTCATCACATAAAGTCTTATATCCTCCAACATAGTGATGATGGGCTTCTTCCTTGCATCTAAGAGCATATTGTTGAAGCTTCGGATAAGCCATTCTCAACATCATCACTTCCTCTTCCTTCCTGAAAGAATGCTCTAGACCACGAGTTTGGATTCCTTCCCATAAGATGCACATATGCAGCAGGGCTCAACAGCTGAATCTCTTTCATTGCAGCATTGAAAAGTGGCTCAGTTGATGCCTTACTTACCTTCCAAAATAACTTCTCATAATGAGCACCAGGATATTTCTTCTTGCATTTGAACAAAACATGTCTGGAACATTGCCTATGTTCTATGTCTAGGAATAACTCCTTCACTGCCTCAATTAACCCCTGTGAAATGATATCATATGGACAGTTAGTACATGATCGTATTTAGTAATGCATAGTTCATATAACTTTACCTTATGTTGATCTGACATCAATGTATTACCAAACCCGGATTCAAGATGCGGGTCTTCTTTCAAATTTTCTAGAAACCATTTCCAGTTGTCCTTATTTTCCACAGCTACCACAACCCAAGCTATTGGGTATATATGGATGTTTCTATGCCTCCCAACAGCACATAACAGCTAACCACTACACATTCCTTTTAAAAAAACAACCATCCAAGTTTATAATCCCTCTACATCCACTTCTCCAACCCTGTTTTAATGCATCAAAACACACACACACACACACACACACATATATATATATATATATATATATATATATATATCCTGTTGAAGTAGCTTTTCCCATCTGGTATAGAGTTTACAAACATCTTAACTATTGACCCTGGATTAGACCTTCTAATCTCCTCAGCATAGGATCACAACTTTGCATAATTTTCTATTATGGTACCTTCAACTAGAGCCACTGCATGTTGTCTTCCTCTTCTACACCGTCCCTTACTAACCTCAATGCCAAATTTATTTTTCACTTCATCTTTTAGCATTCTCCCATTGAGTTTCTTATTTTCAAGAACTTCCCTTGTGAAATGACTACCAATCTGACTGTAATTAACTATTTACCCTAACTTAAAATTCTTGGCACAATTATGCTCATTAATAAGGGACTTGATTTGGAATGACTGCTCATCACGCATCCATGAAGCCCATAGCCTAAATGTGCATTCACCATCACAACACTTAACCAATAATCTTTTACTCTCATTTTTTCATAATACAATTGAAACCCATTGGCTACAACATAATTACAAAACATGAATTTCAATTGTTTAGGATTGGTAAACCTCATAAATAGAATTGGCAACTGCTTCTTCCAAGGTATGTCTTCGTTGAACCTTGGTTGACCTTTCATATCTGGGACATTGTCATCTTCAACATCCTTTGGGCTTTCAACTTCTGGTGCATCCTCATTTGCATTTTCTTGACTGATTCCATCATACGTTACTCCTTCCATGTTGCTCTTTTGTGGACTCATGAACAGGGTTAGGTCAATCCCATTTTCCATTTCCATTAACATGTTAGACATAACAAAACAATTGTCTTCACTGTTTGTTTCTTTACTTACTTCCTCAAAAAAATGTCTGCAGATGAGTACCAAAATGGTTCATATACACATGCAGTTGTACTTCACACCTATACGCAACGTCTATGAACTCGTGATATTCAAGTTCATTAGAAATCAATGTTAA